ATTATTATTATTATTATTATTATTATTATTATTATTATTATTATTATTATTATTATTATTATTATTATTATTGATATCAATTATTATAATGTATTAATAGAGATAGTAATAATTTCTCCCTGAATCTGTTTTTGGATGGATGAAGTAAAGAGCATTGCCATTGTTTGCAATCTATTATGAAATTTGCACATGGAAATGAAATATTGCTTTAATGTTATCATGGCACGAAGCAATTAAATGCAACTTGGCTGTTGTTTGACGGACGCCTTCAAATAAATTTAATAAATGAACATATATATAATATCACAAAATACATATATAATTCATTCAATTCTATTGTCTGATCAATACTCGAATTCGTCGCCTGTCAATTCTTTATCAGGGAATCGTAACTAGTGTCGCACGTTCGATTGCGTGGTGTGAAACGCGACTTGAACCAACATATATTAGCATTGTATGTTGGCGTCTAACCTCGCTCGATAAAAAAATTCCTATCTTGTCCATATCCAATTCTTTGGTGGCTACACAAGATTATAATTTCTCACGTGAAATCATCCCAAGATTGATTTGTATATGCGATGCAAAGAGAAAATTCATAAAAGGAAAATGTAGCCGTTTTCTGTACTTTTTACATGATTATTTTATGTTAGCTATAATTAATTTAAAATAATAGCAATACATATCCTGCATTAAACTTAAAAAAAATACACTCAAAATAAAATCTATATATTGAAGGCGACAAAAGTTTATGTAAGAGGATTTTTTAATCGATGAAACCAAAATTTAGCAAAAGGAATAATAAACAAAGATAAACAAATTCACAATAATCATTAATAAATCCCATTGTCTTTGCTATTTTTTTTTATTTGTAGAATTCAAAGTCCGTGTCTGCTTTCTTAACATTTGCCTTATAACCTTTTTCAATATCTTTGCTAAGAATCACGTAACGATTCTTTCGTACAGCTTGCATGCCAGCTTCTTGACATATTGCATGTATTTCGGCACCACTCAATTTATCAGGTCGAGAGACAACTGTCGATATCAAAATCCAATAATTAATAAACTATTAATCACTAATACAAAGTAAAAAAAAAATAATCATCGCTTACAATCTTCTAAATCCACTTCTTCAGAAAGATTCATACGTGACGTGAGAGTAGTGAAAATTAATCGTTTTTGTCGTCTGTCTGGTGTTGGAAATTCAATCTTACGATCGAGACGACCAGGTCTTAATAAAGCAGGATCTAAAGTGTCAGCTCGATTGGTAGCCATAATCACCTAAAGATAATCATCATGAATAATGTGAATAATGAATGAATCATGATTCATTTTTATTTCCAGGCAAAAAAACCTTTATAAATTATTTCAAATAACTTGATTAAATAATAATAATAATAATACCTTAACATTTGAGGTTTGATCAAATCCATCCATTTGATTCAACAACTCTAATAAAATACGCTGAACTTCACGATCTGCTCCTGTTTGGGCATCAAATCTTTTGGTTGCAATCGCATCAATTTCATCAATGAAAATTATAGCGGGTGAATTCTCCCTTGCGAGTCTAAACACATCACGAACCATACGAGGTCCCTCACCCAAATATTTTTGGACAAATTCTGAACCAACCACACGAATGAATGCTGCTGTTGTATGATGCGCGACTGCTTTTACAAGCATCGTCTTGCCCGTTCCCGGTGGTCCATATAGCAAAACCCCACGTGGCGGATCGATTCCAATTTGTTTATAGAGATCAAAATGTGTTAATGGTAATTCCACAGCCTCACGGATTTCTTGCTTTTGAATATCAAGACCTCCCACATCTGCATACGTCACATCGGGTTTCTCGTCATCTCCCAACATAGCAATGCTGCTATCAGCTTCTGGAGGTAATACATCAACAAGCGAGTTAGAATGTCTATGAAGGGCGACAGAAGATGAAGGTTTAAGAAGTTCACGATCGATGGTGCTCAAAATTCTAACGACATAGTTTGAGCCTGTCGTTGATCCAACAATTCCAGTGTGTTGGTCAATTGGTTCCAAGAATTGGCCAATGACTAGAGGTACAGATTGAATGCGCTTAACTTCTTCCTGTGCCCTTATCAACTCGCGTTTTAGGTTTTTCTGTTCGTCTTTAATGTATTCTTCTTGCAATTCCAAGAATTCCAAGTGACGTTGAAGTTTTTTTAACTTTGTATAAAGATCCTGATCGCTGAGCTCCTTAAAAATTTCACTTGATACGCCAGCCGCCGAATTAGTTGTTTCAACACCAATTTCTTCCATTTGAGTGTGAAATTAAAAAGGTTTATTTTTCCTCGAACCAGATTTAATTGGGAAAACTGTGCACATTGTGCACTTTAAGCTGCGCCCTCAAAGAAAGTGCTTTATTAAAAAAAATTATTACAAACAGATTATCATTAATTATATCCAAAATACATTTCTGTATTTTTATTATCCAATACATCTTTGCAATAATTGTATTTTAGTAAAGAAATAATTAAATGCTATCTTAAAATCTTATTTTATTATTTTGAAATTTCATGAATTTATTTAACAAAATAAGTAATTAACAAATTTATAATAAAATTGAAATTTTTGTCTTATATAAAGTTTTTAATTTTATTAATAAATATTTTTTATTTTATACCAAAATAAAAATCATAAATTATATTTTAATATATAATAATTAACAAAATTATATACAAGTTTATTATTTTTAATTTTATTAATAAATATTTTTTATTTTTATATCAAAATAAAGATTATGAGTTATATTTAACATATAGTAATTAACAAATTATAAAATTATATGTGCAATTTTATTGATAAATATAATAAAAATTGAAATTTTTGTTTATTATAAAAGTTTTTAATTTTATTAATAAATAATTTTTATTTTATAAATAATTTTATATTTTAATTATAAATAATTTTAAAATTAAAACAATATTATTAAATTAAATCTAAAAAAATTATAATATAAGAACTTTTAAATTAATAATATTGTTGTATAACAAATTTTAATCAAATATTCTACTGGATCATTCATATTTAATATTATTAAATTATAAATATTTTATATCTTATTGAAAGAATCTAATTATATAAAATAAGCAAATAAATAAGTGAACAAACAAATAAATAAACAAGTAAATAAATAAGTGAATGAGTGAATAAATAAGTAAATATTGAACCAATAGAATTTAAGTAATCTAGTGAATATGAATTCGTATAGCTGATGAATTATATTTTGAATTTGTATAAAAGCAATATGTATTGTAGTTATTAGAATTAGATTAGAACAAGTTCTTTAATAATAATATTCTTAATTATCATCTTATAGCTAGTTATCATATAGTTTTGATCATTCATACAAGCAAAGTTTGCACTTTATATAGAATAAGTAGTTAAGTGCAAACCTCTCTCTACACCTTTTTAACAAAGTATTTTTGTTTCTTGTATAATTGCTATCATGAGTTCTGGGCTCAGGTAGATAATCTTATGAAATAAGTGTTCAACTAATATCTATCTCAGTAAGTTAATAATTTGATCTAGTTGCTTTAGAATCATGACATTATGCAACTTCTTCTATTCTATTAATTTAGAATAGGTAATACTACTACTAATAAATATCTCCCTTTTATTTACTTAGTGTGATAATGATTCTATAGTAATACAGTACTGATATTTTATAGTAATCTGATTGAATGTTCAATAGTATATAAAGTAAGTATTATAACAAGATTAATAATTATAAAATTAATTAATGTACAATTTCATTAAATAATAAACAAAAAGTGATTTATTAACTAGCTAGATTTTGTATTGATCAATTAATATCTTTTAATTTATTCAAAAAATCCTTTATTTATATAAAATAATTTATAACTAAATTATTACAATGTGAAATATGTTATATATGTTAGATAAATATGATATAGCAGATAATATTAATATGTCTGAGAACTCTGCTATCTCTGCAATCTCTGTGATCTATGTAGATCACATAATTAAACTTAAGAAATTAAAAAATTAAAAATAATTCTGAATTGTAATAGCATATTACTATAAATTATCTCACAGATTTGGTAGGTATGATCTCGAATTGGTCCAGTTCTTCTTTGTGTTATCTGTTATTCAACAGATTTTTTAGGAATAACTATATATTTATTACTTGGTAATAATCAAGGAATACTAGTAATATTGCTATTTTTACTATTGGTTTGTGATCAAGCATCAGAGTAGATATTATTATCACTTAAAGTTTCTGATAGTTCTCTATAACTAGAAGTGAGATTATGTTCTGGAGTATTGTTGTTGTCACAAGTTTTTTCTTTATCTTTTGTTGGTGTTGGAATTATTTTAATATCTTCTTCATCATTTATATTAGTGAGATCAATGACATATTTTTCTTTAGAAACATACTTTTTTTCAGAAATAGTAGATTTTTTTTGAAGATAATAGACTTTTTTTTAGGATTACAAGTATTACAATCATCATAAGGGAGTTTTTTACAATTTCTACACCAATAATAGAAATATAAATGAAGAGTATACTGTTGATTTTGAAATTTTTCTTCCATTTATTTTCATATCTAATAATTCTTGTAACTTCTACACATAATTAATATTGCTTTTCACAGTGTAATGATGTTATCTAGTCTTTTGATTTGCAAACATGTGATACTTAACTAAGTTATTTTTAAATAATTCTTTCAGTATAATAGAATTTAAAATGGTAATATTCTTCAGTTAAAATTAATTTGACATTTTTTTTAAAAAATTTTATGGTTCTCATCCCAAAGGTGATGTAAGATTTAACCAATTCCAAAGCTTAGTTTATTGACTTCTTGGTCAAATTAGCTAACTTTAATTTTGAATTACAATTATTGGTTCTAATTTATTATCTTTAAGATAAAGTTTTAAGTGATTTTCATTATAAGAATTTTTTAAAAGTTTTTTATTTATTGTTCTTAGTCAATAGACTTCTTTATTAAGTTTTTTATGAATATAGAATGATCCTTTTCATTTTTGAAAAAATTTTTCATGATACCAATATTGTATTTTCATCCTTTTTATTAAGACTTTATTTTTGATAAAGAAAATTTGTGCATTTTTATCTTGTTAATACAATTCTTTTTATTTTTGTTGAGATTTTTGAATATTCTGTTGAGTTATTGTTCTATTAATTTCTAATTTATCCATTATTATACAAGCTCATTTGATGATTTTATTTATTGTAACTTCATCATTTTCTTCTAATAATTGTAATTTAAGATCTATTGACATTATTACTTGTCTTCTATAGGTCAAATAAAATAGAGTAAATTTGATTATACTTTGTTAAATTATTTTATAGGTGAATAATACTAAAGATAAATAGAAATTCTATTTATTTTTATATAATTGTACTAGCTTTGTTAATGATTCACACAATGTTCTATTTAATCATTCAACTAATCTATTAGTTTAAGAATAATATAGTGCTGAGAGATGATGTTTAATTTGATAAATTTTGTATAATATTCTAATTAATTCGTTAACAAAGATTGTTTCTCTATCAGAAATTAATTCTTTTGGAAATTCATATTTATAAATAATATTTTTATATAAGAATGATATTATTATTGTTGATATTGCATTAAGAATAGCTCTTACTTCTGTTCATTTTGTTCTATAATTAATAATAACTACTATATATTGTTACCGTTTTGAGCTTTTGCGTATGAAAGTATTTCAAAATGGCAATAGTGACTGTGTTCACAGCAATTTAC